CAGCTTGTTCACACCAATTTCATAAGTTGGAACATTTTCATAAGTAGATGCCATTTTTTTTCTGGAGGGGCATTTCGTAAGTTGAATTTTTCATTAGTAGAAGCATTCGTAAGTAGAGGTAACACTGTAGTAGGTTCATCTCCGAGGACCTTAGTGTGCAGAATGGACAATACGGAAGAATGCGATCCCTGAAGTATTCTGGTCCCAAGCCATGTAGGGCTTTAAAGGTAATAACCAACACCTTGTACCTTGCCCAGAAACTAACTGGCAGCCAGTGAAGGGACTTCAGGACCGGTGTTATATGGTCATTATAGGAAGTACCCGTAATCAACCTGGCTGCCATATTTAGTAGAAGCTAAAGTTTCTGAACTTGGCACAAGGGTAGCCCCATGTAAAGCGCATTGCAGAAGTCTAATTGAGAGGCTACCAGTGCATGCACTACTGTTCCAAGGTCTCCCTGCTACAGGAAGGGGTGCAGCTGGCGTATCAGCCAAAGCTGATAACAGGAGCTCCTGATTGTTGCATCCACCTGTGCTGTCAAGTGAAACAACAAGTCAAACCCCCAAGCTGTGGACAGAGTCCTTCAAAGGAAGTGTGACCCCCCATCCAGAACCAGCTGACATAACTCCATTTCCAGGTTTGGGTTTCCTATGACAAATACCTCTGTCTTACCTGGAATCAGCTTGAGTTGGTTTTCCTTCATCTAGTCCATTACCGTCCCAAGACAGGCATTCAGAGGAGAGATGCCATCCTTAGTCATTGCATTAGTCTGAGACATAGAGTAATATATATTTAGGTGTCATCAGCATACTCATAACACCCTGCCCCATGTCTCTGGATGATCTCACCCAGTTGCTTCATGTACATGTTGAATACATTGGGGACAGAATTGCACCTCGAGGGACACCTGATTTGAGCTCCCTCTTGGCTGAACAACTGTCCCCAAGTGACACCATCTGGAACCTACCTGAGAGGTAGGACCAGAACCACTGCAATACAGTGCCGCCAATACCCAACTCTCTCAGGCGTTCCAGAAGGACATCATGGTTTATGGCAGGGGTAGGCAACCTTTCCCCTTTAAGGGCCAAGGGACTTCAGCTCCCAGAATCCCAGGAGCTACTGGCCAACATGGGACTATTGGCCAACATGGCTGAGGCTTCTGGGAGCTGAAGTCCCTCAGCCCTTAAAGGGAAAAGGTTGCCTACCCCTGGTTTATGGTATCAAAGCCTCTGAGAGGTCCAAAAGCACCAACAGGGTCACACTTCCCCCGTCAATGCCCAGACGGAGATCATCAACTAAGGCGACCATAGCAGTCTCAACTCCATAACCCACCCTGAATCCAGTTTGAAATGGATCCAGAAAATCAGTTTCCTCCAAGACAACTTGTAGTTGATTGGCGACCATCCTCTCAATCACCTTGCTCAAAAATGGCAACAGCGAAACAGGTCTATAATTATTTCTGTCCAGTTCTCTCCAGGGGCTTTTTTAAGAGTGGTCTAACCACTGCCTCCTTAAGGCAAGAGGCAAATGACCTTAATAGGTTAGAAAGCTGGGCCAAAGCTAACAAAATGTATTTCAGTACAGAGAAATGTAAGGTACTGCACTTAGGGGGAAAAAAATGAAATGCATAGATATAAGATGGGGGATGCCTGGCTTGACAAGACATGCGTGAAAGGGATCTATGTGTTCTAGTAGTCCACAAGTTGAACATGAGTCAACAGTATGATGCCGCAGCTAAAAAGGCCAATGCAATTTTATGCTGGATTAACAGAAGTATAGTATTTAGATCAAGGGAAGTAATGGTGCCACTATATTCTGCTTTGGTCAGGCCGCACCTGAAATACTGTGTCCAGTTCTGGGCACCACAAATCAAAAAGGATGTTGACAAATTGGAGCATGTCCAGAGGAGGGCGACTAAAATGGTGAAGGGCCTGGAAACCATGCCTTATGAGGAAAGACTTAGGGAAAGAGTATGTTTAGCATAGAGAAGAGATGGTTAAGAGGGGATATGATAGCCATGTTTAAATATTTGAAGGGTTGTCATATTGAGGAGGGACCCAGAACAACAGATGCAAGCTACAGGAAGAGATTCCATCTCAACTTCCTGACAGTGAGAGCTGTTTGACAATGGAACACACTCCCTCGG